TTATTGTTTTTTTTTCTTTTTGTTAAAATTAATCGGTTTTATTTATAAAAAAATTAAACAAAGGCAAAGATTCCTCTTCTTTCACACACACCCCCACCCCAATCCCACTGGCCTGAGGTGACTCCTGTGATAGTTTGGTATAACTGTGTGTCTACCCAGACCTTCTTCTGTACACGTACAAACATGTTATCTGTGTGCTTGTGTGTGCATGTACACACACCGCGCACATTTAGTTTTTTTTTTTTTTTACCAGTGTGATATTATGTATTTCTGCAAAATATTTTATATCGGTGTATGTATATCCACGTCCTCATTTGAATTCACCTGTTCTCCGATTGACGGCCGTTTACGCGGCTTCTCATTTCTTGTTCTCACTAACGCTACTTCAGGGCGTGTGCTCCTCCATCTCTCTCTGTGTCCGCGGCATCCTACTTTTCCCTCGGGGTCCCCTGCCTTATCCCCAAGGCCTGTAATAACCACTCTGCTCATGGTCAACGGGTGTAACCGTTGCTGCCATCTTTAGCCAAGAGACAAGCTATCGTACGTTTGCGAGAGGAAACGTATCGAAATCTGGTTTTGACAGTGTTGTTTTCCACATCGCCGCAGTTTAGAAAAAGATCGATGTAGATGGCGGCCCTCTCCACGATCCCTCTCCGTGAATGTTAAAAGGGATGCAAAACGCAGTGGTTAACACGGCGCGACTTCAGTTAATGTGAGCGCTGCTCGAGTTAGGAGTCCTGTTACTCCTGAGTGACATCAGCCTGGCTTTGGCCTTGGAGTTGTGCTTCTACCTAGAGACAGGAGTCTCGTTACAGAAACGTTTTCTTTCTCGTAGCTAATTCGTTAAATGGCAAAAGGAATTTCCAGGATGAATGAAACGCTTTTAGGATTAGCAAGTTTCCAAAAGAACCACCTCATTCGAAGAAATGGGCTTTTAAGAACCAGCCAGATAAATATTAAATGGTTCTGTTCCTAGAAGTTGCAGCCTGAAACCATCATGATTCCCTAATTCTGCCACTCACGCCCACACGATAAAAGACCCAAATGTAAATATAAATCTCAGGGAATGAGCAGACGGAAACGGGAGAGAGTGGGGGATGAAGAATGTGGGCGAGAAATCAGCCACATGGCCCATTATGTCTGGGTCGGGAAAAATACATGTACCTCGCTTTAACCTTCTAAGTTGTTCAAAGATAAGAAAGGTAACTCCCCAGAATTCGGTTTCGATAATTTAACTTACTGATTTTTAGTAACTAATCACGTAGCCATCACTTTAAACACTACCGCATTTGATTAACTGGCCTTAGTTAATTTTTTTAAATAGACTTTATTTTTTTTTTGAGCAGTTTTAGGCTTATAGACAAATCGAGCAAGAGTACAGAGTTCCTATATCACCCCGTTTTCCTCCCTCTCGTCGGTGTCTGGCGTTAGGTCCCCTGGTGTAGCTGACGAGCCAATACTGATACGTTGCTATTAACTGAAGTCCATAGCTTACCTTTGGGTTCATTCCGTCCTTGTGTCGTACACTCCCTGGTCTCTGACAAATGTGTGATGACATGGATCCAGCATGGCGGTATCACACAGATGGCCTCTGCGCCTGAAAGTCCCCCGCGTCCCACCTGCTCCTCGCTCCCCACCCCCAGCCACCCCGACCCTGGCCGCCGCTCATCTTTTTATTGTCTCAGTCGTTTTGCCTTTTCCGGAATGTCATGTAGTTGGGATCACACAGTGTGCCTCTGCGTCTTCAGGCTGGCTTCTTTCCCTCAGCAATACGCATTTAAGTTTTCTCCATGTCTTTTCGTGGCTCGTGAGCTCATTTCTTTTTATCGCTGAGTAATATTCCATTGTCTGCATATACCACAGTTTGTTTAGCTGCAAATTTTTTGTAAAAGACATTGAATACAAAAATATACATAAATGAACTACTATCGAACTAAAAGCAGTAGTCAGGTTTATAGCACCTGTAATTTTTTATTCCATAAGTTTTTGGATTTGGATTTATTCTTAGCTACACGGAGTTTTAAAATCCTACGGAGGGAGTTTTGCCTCATCGCGCGTTATCCTTCTAGGGAAAACGATGTCTAAGGACCAATTCCCAGGCTGAGTAAGTGCCTTTCTTGTAACGTGGCTTAGTGGTGTCGTAGTAATTCCATGCTGCACGTTTCATGGAGGAAATGGACACTCACATCGTCGAGTGACATCGCGGTCTGAGGCCAAGCGAGGCCTGGGTCCCGGGGGTGGGAGAATGGTCGGTTGTTTCTGTTTACGGTCGAAGGTTTTCTTTTCTTCTTACACGGAGATATAATTCACATACCGTAAGATTTAAAAAAATAATTTTTTTTAAATCGCGGTGAAATACACATAACACACAATTTGCCATCTCAACCACGTTTAAGCGTGTGCACAGTGGCGTTAAGCACATCCACACTGCCGTGCCGCCAAGCTTCGGGACTCATCCTGCAAAACTGTCGCCCTGTCCCCAACAAACGACGACACCCCATGCCCCCCGCCAGCCCCTGGCACCCACCTTCTACTTCTTGTCCCTGTGAATTGGACTACTCTAGGTACCTCCTAACAGGGGCGTCATGCCGTGTTTGTCCTTTGTCCCTGGTGTACTTCACTCACATAATATCCTCGATGTTCGTTTATGTCGTAGCCTGTGTCAGAACCTCCTTCCTTCTGAAGGCCGAATAATATTCGCACTTGGTTTATCCATTCCTCTGTCGATGACACTTGGGTCGCTTCTGTCTCTGGGCCTTTGTGAAATATGCTGCTGTGAGCACGGGGGTGCTACTCTCCCTTCGAGACCCTGTTTTAATTCTTTCTGGGCGTATACCCAGAAGCGTCGTTGCCGGATTACGTGATAACTCGATGGTCGATGTTTTGAGGAACCTCCATCCTGTTTTCTGTAGCAGCTGCAGCATTTCACATGTCCCCCAAGAATGCACAAGGGTTCCCATTCCTCCACATCCCCGCATTGGTTTTTAGCGGATTCACAAGGTTCTGCAATCATTGCTACTGTCTAGTTCCAGAACATTTTCATCACCCCAAAAGGACATACATAACCAAGAAGCAGTCACTCCCACTGCCCCTCCCCCAGCCCCTGGCACTCACCAGGCTACTTCCTGTCTCTGTGGATTTGCCTGTCCTGGACCTTTCATGCCGATGGGGTCATCATGCAACACGTGGTTTTGCGTGTCTGGCTCTTTTCACTTAGCTCGTGTTTTCAAGGGTCATCCACATGGTACCATGCTGCTGAGGACTTTCTTTTTTTTTTTAAATCTTATTTTTTATTTTATTTTATTATTTTTAGGCGAGGCAACCCTTGGTTGACCTCAGATTGCAAGGACCTCGTCAGCTTACAATCCCTTATTTTTTATTTATTTTTTACGCCTACAGCACCTGGTCTTCCTAGGTGGTCCCCCCCATCCAAGTACTCTCCAGGCCCGACCCTGCTTAGCTTCCACGATCAGACGGGATCGGGCTTGTCCAGGGTGGTATGGCCGTAGACTGCCCAGAACCTTCCTGAAGTGATTTCTTGATGCAAAATCCTCCCCCCAGGGGATCGTGCCTGGAGCGCCTAGTGTCACAGCCCTGGGCCAGGCATGCCTTAGTGTCTTGCTGGTTTCACCTCTGTCTTCCAGACCCTGAGCTGGTCATTCGGCTGGAACAGTTCTCTTCCTGTTTACTATATTCGAGACAAGAACCAGAGGGTCCTTCTGTACGCCAGCACCCACACCGCAGTCATCTACAATGTCCTCAGGAACAGTCAGCGCCACCTCCAGGTACGCCCCGCCTTTCCTCCTGACAGCCAGAGACGTGTCTTTACCTCGAGGGCGGCATTTTGTGTTTCGCTCCGAGGCCTGACTTCCTGGAACTGCTCCCCGTCCTCCTACCTGTCTTCTGAACTATAAGCAAATCCCGTCTCTCGAAATCTACTTTATTGTTCCTCCTCTAATCAGAATCAATGTACAAACAGCGTTGGATTTTAATTTCATAGTAATTAAAATTTAAAACATCTTTTTTTTTTTTTTTTTTACATTTCTGTAAAACTGTGGTCAGGATAGAGCATGTCGTTGCTGCAGAAGTCTGGTCAAACACAAAGGGCTTCAGCAAGGATTGGGACCTAATTCACACTGGGGTTCAGGGGGCTTTGATCCTCTTAGTCATGCCGAGAAGTGGGCGTTAACACCTCCCCCCCCACTTTACAGAAGAAGAAACTGAGGCTCAGAGCGATTTCTCTGACTCGCCCAAGGCCGTACGCAGACCTGGGTCTCCTGACCTGACAGGTAGTGGTCGCTGCCCTGCCGCACCCCGCCCCCGTCACCCTGCTCCCTCTCTCCCTGACATGTGGACCCCGTTCCTTTTCCTCATTCACCTATCCAGATGGCATATGTCCTTGGCGTCCGTCTGTCCACTGGTTCACCCGATAAACAGTTCCATGTTACCATTTTCAATTGACATATATTTTATTTATTTTTTTTTTAGAGGGGGGTGTGTCTTTTTTTGAAATTTAAAAAATTTTCAATTACAGTTGAGATTCAATATTAGTTTCAGGTGTGCAGCCCAGTGGGGACACATTTATATAACTTACAAAGTGATTCCCCCAAGGAGGTCTAGTACCCACCCGTCTCCACTGACATATTTTAATAAGGATTTTCCTAAGTTAATGCCTAGATCAAAAACAACACAAAGTCTTTTTCAAGAGTTCGATTGATACTCAGCATTGTGCCTGGGACACGTGGGTGCAATTTAAGGCATTTGCTTTCCTGAGGTCCAGAAATACACGAAAAAGTCAGCGAGCAGCGCCTCTCGGAGCTGAGCTGAGTGCAGTGCCGGGCGCAGCGGTAACCGCAGAGGGGGGAGGGACAGGCAGCGGAGGAAGGCTCAGGGCCCAGGGAGCCCGCAGTGGGTGGATGGGCTGAGAAGGAGGGAGGCCGGCCGAGCAGGAGTCCAGCCTCCCCAGAGACAGACAGCTGGAAACGGCCTTGACTCTTCATGTCATTCAGCCCACAAATATTTATCAGAACCACCGTGTTTCAGATGATGGGTCTGTCATCGTGAACAAAACGGATCTAGTGCCCCTTCATGGAGCTTACAACCCGGTGGACAGACAGACATCAAACAAGCGAACACATACATATATAAGTATAAATGATAACACGCACTCAGACGGAAATACGAAGATACGAGGAGAGAGACGAATCAAGGGCGACAGGAGACTTAGGTTAGATTGGGTGGGCAAGGGATAAAAAGGTTTATCCTGGGACCTGAGGGGTGACAATGAGCCGACCGGGACAGGGCCACGTGAGCGAGGGGAGTGAGCGAGGGGAGACCCGGAGGCGGAGACGGGCTACTTCCCCGCAGGGAGCCTACCATCTTGTTTGTGTTTCCAGAAGAGTCCTCCCTTATGTAGGGGAGGGATCAAAGGGAAAGCAGAGAGACCAGCAGGTGGCCTGAGTGACATTGTCCTAGGGAGATGAGGCTGGCAGGGAGGTTCACGGGGACGACGGTGAGGAAGGGGACGACCCAGATGTTCATTCCCCACCTGGGTTCAGAGTCACACACAGGCCTGGTCCCCCAGGAAGCCGCTGTTCTTCAGGGGGTGTAGGACATCCTTCAGGCGTTTCGAGGGGGAGAAAGTTTGCAACCCACCGGCTGTGAGGAAGCACCGGGGAGGCTGGTGGGAGTCGAACTTCCAGCCAGACAAGCCTGGAAAGGGGCTCAGTTCTGTCTGGGTCCCCGGCCTCTCCTGCTGGTGCCTCGGTGCGGCCACACCCTTGACGTTTCAAAGCACTTTCCCTTCGTCCCTGTAGGGCCACCTTAACGTGATCTCCTGCCTCTGCATCAGCGAAGACCGGCGGTGGATCGCCACGGCCGACAAAGGTCCCAACAGCCTGATAATTATATGGGACTCCTTCACAGGGTAGGCTTGGCGCGGCCACTTTCCCCGCCCCTGATTTTTGTAGCATATCTGAAAAAAATGAATAATGCTGGTCTGGGGATGCAGAAGCCGTGATGGGGACGCGGGGGCGGGGAGGCGGCGGGGAGAGAGGAGGTTGCCTGAGAAGGCTGGCTGTCTTGTTGCCTGGAGGCCTGATGGGGTGACATGTCCTTGGTGACTTTTCCACTTACGATTCTTGGCTCTTTAAGCCCAGAAACGTGGTTTGTCGGTGTCCCAGAGTCGATTTGGGCTGAGGGAGGCTAACGCACCCTAACCTAGCATGGAGGCCCGGAGAAGTTAAGTGACAGTCCCCCATCGAGTCAGTTCGCGAGGCCAGAAGTCTGAAACGGGGGTGTCTGCAGGGCGGCTCCCTGCCGGGGCCTCTGAGCTGTCCCATGCTCTCCCAGCTTCCGGTGGCCACCGGCCACCCTTGATGTTACGTGGCTAGTGAACTCATTGTTCCGTCTCTGCTCGCATCTTCCCACGTGCCTCCCCAAGACGTGCCTTCGACCGCATCTGAATCACATCCACAAAGACTCTGTCTCCACATGAGGTCACATCCCGAGGTCCGGGGCGGACGCGGATTTCGAGGGGCCGCATTATCCAGTCCAGCGCGCTTACCTGGCAGGGAGCACCAGGCCTGGCCCGTGACAGATGGCACAGGCCCCCGACGGGGTGTGCGCGGGGGGTGCTATGGCATGCAGTGGGCATGGGACGGGTCCGGTCGGGTGAGAAGATTAGGAGGAAGTTATGTTTAGTGTTCTCGAATGTTCTAGAAGTTACGTTTTACATTCTAGGACACAGGAACTGTCCCCTCCCCCCCCCAGGTGACCAGTGACCTCCAGGGTTCGTGGTCCCTAACCCCGGTCCCCATCTTGCCTGATCCCTCAGGAACCTTTGACACGCTTCCTTTCTTGGCTTCTCTGATAACTCGCCCCCTTGGTTCTCACCCTATTCCCTGTCCCCTCCTGCTCAGCGGCTGTTGGTACCTCCTGCCGGGAAGGAGCAGCCCCAGGCGTGAAACCACGCCCTCGAACGTGGAGAAGTCCTGCTGCATCTGCCCCCAAATGACCTCTGAACCCGTCCCCACATTGTTTATCCATTCATCTGTTGATTTATTTAAAAATAGTCATCTTAACTAAGAGGTCAAGTCTCTCTTGACTACATACAGTCCCCAACCCTCATCCTCTTCCTAGAGAGGCGGTCTGTTTGGTGTTTCCTTCCAGAACCTTTGCTGCTGTTTTATTTTTATTTATTACTATTTTTAATTCCCCATACCTTCCACCCTTGACCTAGGCTCAAACCCAAGACCTTCTGTGTGCAAAGCGGATGCACTAACCACTACTCTATGGAACTACCCCATCTTTGCTGTTGTTTTAAATACACCTATATGGACATCATCGCATGTCATGTGGTTTTTCCTCCACGTTTTGAGCGTGCTCTTTTTTCAAATGTGAAACTCCGACTGTGCTGCTTCAGAGCTTGTCTGTCAGCCTAGGTTTCAGGGACGATGCGCCTTGCACCGTAGCTGTTCAGACACCTTCCCCAGAAAGCGAAATTCCCCGTCTGCACGCGTGCCTAGCCGTGAGGGAACAGCCTGGCCACACAGCAGGGGAATCACCTCCTGTAGCAGGAAGTCGGAAGGCGGGGAGGGTGGGTCCCTCAGGTGTGCCCCTTCTCTGAAGCTCCCCCTCCCCAGGCGAGCCGGCCCCTTACGAACAGGGTTCAGCCTTCATTTTTTTCTTGCTATAAAGCTGTCTCCCCTGCTAGGCCCGGAGCAACTTGAGGGCGGTGTTCTTTTCCTTCAGTTGCAAAGTAAAGCATATCTGTGGTTAACAACTCAAACAATATGTCGATATGAACTTTATGGTCTCGCAAATGATGACTTGGGGACCCAGAAAAGATTATTTGGTTTTAGAATTAATATTCACTTTGTTCAAGTGACAAATAAAAACCATAGTTCTTCCTTAAACTTCTTGTTCAACTTATAAATCTTACTCTATTTATAAATCTAGCGTATTTTTGCAATCTTCTTTAAGGGAGTTTGATTAATGTTTGGCTCCACTTACCAATTTGATTATTAACTCCCTTTAAACATTTCAAACTGCATTTAGAAACTGAATATATTTGGTTTCATCTTCAAGTTCTTTAGTAGTCTGATTAAAAAAATAAATCCTTCACCAGCACTTCAGTAATTCTGTAAATCTAATAAATTAAACATAAATATGGCAAATCTTAAGTTCTCTTAAGTGCCCTAATATTGTTTATAAACCTAATACGATTCAAATTGAAAATCAGAAGTCTAAATCAACTACGTACTTTAAATTGGAATCACAAATCTAATCTGTTGGAGGCTCTGATATGTTAAATCCCCTTAAACATCTCCCATCCCTAAAAAAAGGAACAAATTCTCTAATCGCGGATATGTTCATAGTATAGGAAATCATAGACCGATTTCTTCTTTTCTGTATTTAATTCTGAATATTCCCCAGGGACATCATTGTGTCATTTAGGACTGTCTTCCTAAATGACTGAGTATTTGAGGTGGCTGTTCAGTGGGATGAAATTTTTCAAGTGACAGAGAACCAGACAGGCCCTCAGATAGGACACACACTCGGTTCCAGCCACGTGGGCCACCGATGTGGCATACTGAGGCCAGTTCATATTCTCTGGAACAGGGGTTCCATAATGAAAAAAAAAACGGGGGGGGAGGAGCTAATAGCCCCCATTCCTGCATTCAGTGTTCCCGCCGTCCACTCTTCATTTCTAATGGCAGTCAGGGACCCCCGGCGTTACAGCTTACGTCCATCATTCCTTCATTTGTTTCTTGCATTTCTTCGGCTCTCCTCGATGTGTATAGGTCATTTGATTCAATTCTGCTCGTGTCGAGGCTTCGTCTGCATCTTACAGTTCTTAAGTCTCGCCAGTGACACAGTACAGAAGTTTATGTAAATAATTAAAAAACAGAAACAAAAACGGAAGTCCCTTCTTACTGAAACCACGCCTCCAGAGTCACCACTGTTTTAGTTTCGTGTCCATTTCTCCAGACGTTCTTCTCTGCCTATAAATCCACACGCACGTGTGCGTGCGTGCAAACACACCCACAGCTGGGACATGCTACATATACGGTTTTGTAATGTGCTTTTTTCACAAAAGTTTGGTCACATTACTAAATCTGCCTTATTCTTTTCGAAGGTGGTATAGTTTCCATTATGCCGTTGTCGTCATGCTTTTAACAATTCCTGTGTTCACGGATGTTTGTGGCATTTCCAGATTTCTGTTATTAGAGCAGGGCCACAATGAACACGAGCGGCATTTATCTCTGTGTCCGTTTGCTGTTTATTTCTCTAGGAAACATCGTAGAAGTGGAATTTCTCGTTGGGTCATAGGGTATGTGCATTGAACATTTTGATAGCGCTTAATTGCCGTCTGGAAAGCTTGTGCTTAGTTACGTTTCCACATATGCGGGAGAACGCCCATTTTCCCAAGAGCTTGGAGGTAGTCTTGGACACCTGTCACCTTGCCATCCTTCACATCTGGCACAGGATCGGCACTCAGCGACGAAGGAGAGACGGAGAGCTCGGAGCAAATCGCATGTTCACAGGCCGCCCCGAGTTCATTTATTTTCACATAAGATGCCATTGACATAAGATCTAACATGTTAAAGTATATAGTTCAGTAGCTTTCGGTATGTTCCCAGGTTGTGCAAACACTACCTCTGTCTGGTTCCAAATAACTTTCATCTTCCTGAAAGGAAACCATGAGCGGTCCCTCCCGCCCCCGCCCCCGGGAAACAGCAGTCTGCTCTCTGTCGCTGTGCATTTGCCTGTGCAGGACATCTGATGTCAGTGGCTCCTACACCGTGTGGCCTCCCGTGGCCGGCTGCCTTCACGGAGTGCGAGGTTTTCGAGCTTCGCCTGCGGTGTGGCGTGTGTCACTGCTTCGTTCCGTTCTGTGGCCGAGCGACATTCTGTTGTGTGCGGAGGACGACGTTTTGTTTACCCACAGTTACGTCTTGGAAGCGGGTCCCTCTGGGAAGCAGGGCAGGCCTCAGCAAACCCCCGTCCCCCCTGCCCTGTTTTGCAGCATCCCCGTGCACACAATATTTGACAGCTGCCCGGACGGCAGCGGCATCAGGGCCATAGCCATGACTTTTGACGCCAAGTACCTGGCAACCATCTCAGATGCTGAAATCCAGGTACAGGGCCCTTGGGGGTGGCCTCAGTGGGCTGGCCAACCTGTCCCCGGGGAGCAGCCCCGCAGCGTCTGTGACTCCGGGGCCCGTTGTTAGGCGCACCCCCTTGGGGGCTCAGCTCAGGGAGCTGCGCCCAGTTGATGGGGTCACCGCAGAATCCTCACTGTCCCGTCTGCTCTCGTGTACAGAAAGTTTGCATTTGGAGGTGGACTTTAGCGGTGGAAACGCCAGCGTGCTCGCTCGACCTTCCCAAAGAGTACGGTTTTCAGGTGAGTGCGTGGTGAGCCCGTAGCGATCTAACGCCAGGCCAAACCGACTTTTTGGTGAGAAGTAGAGCTCTCTAAAATCACTTTCGTATCCACGATGCCATTTTATTTTTGATGACGAGGACTAATCTTTTGAGCATTTATTGTGTGCCAGATTCTGCGAAGGTCTTTACATACAATGTCTCACACTGATCCATGCAAACATGGCAATATCCGTGGAATGCGACTATTAATTATGAACTAGTTTGTCTAACGTCGCCCAGCCAGCAGCCTTGCTCATTCTAGAAGCAGGCTCTTGACTGCCGTTAACATGGGGAAGCCGTTCTCCCTTCTTTCCTTCTCTCTTTTTTTAACACCTACAGCACCTGGTCTTCCTAGCTGGTCTCCCATCCAAGTACTCACCAGGCCCGACCCTGCTTAGCTTCCGAGATCAGACGAGATCGGGCTTGTTCGAGGTGGCGTGGCTGTAGACTGCCACTGCTTCTTTGAACATTACTTCTGCCACATGCTTTCTTCTCATTTTGAGACTCCACTGACATGTAAGTTAGACGTTTTCATCTCGTCCCGCAGGTCCTTTATTCTCTTTTCTATATTTTCTGTTCTACTGTGTCTCGATGCTTCAGTCTGATATTTTCTCTTACAATGAATCATCCTTTCCTACTAACGAATCATTTCTTTGGCCACATTTCATCTTCTGTCAAACCATATTTTGAGTTTTTTTAATCACTTTCTTCAGATCTTAGAATTTCCACTTGCTCCTTTTTCAAAATGGAGTTACCTGCCGAGCTCGTCCGCCACGTCCTCTGTTTCCTGCACATGTTGTCGACCGTCATCGTCAAGTCTGCGTGCGATGACTCCAGTCCCGGGAGCTCCTGTGGGTCTCTGTCTGTCGCTTGCTTTCCTCCTTGATTTTTGGCCATTCGGACCTGTTGTCTCTTTCATACGCCTGGTTATTTTCCTTTGGAATGCCCGATGTCATGCTTTCAAAAGTGTAGTAGGCATAATTCGAGGCTCAGGACGATAGCTTCCCCCGAGGAAGACTTACTCTCGCGTCTTACAGGCATTTGGCTCAGCGGTCACCGTCACCCGATCGGAGACTGAGGTGCTGTGAGGCTGGTTTTTCGGTCTCTGGGAGGTCTCGCCTGTCTACTCGCTTTCCTCGGCCCTTCACCCCACCCCGGCCTCTGTGCTGTCCTGGCATAAATTCTCGGCATTGGCCTTGGTAATTTACCTTCCCGAAGTGAAATGGCAAGGAGCGGGAGATGGGGGCGGAAGTCGGGGGGATTCTCCCGCGACCTCTCGATGCTGCCTCCTGCAGGCAGCCCTTCATCTCTGGTGGCGGCCACCCACCCACCTGCCATCGCTCCCACCTCAGGGCATACGCCGTAAGCCTCCCCAGGGACTTCTCACCCCGAGTCGCTATTGTTGTTTAGTTTCTGCATTTCATGTTTCTCTCACTTCTGTGGTTTCCACAGGGTTGGTTTTTGAGAAGGGAGCCAGGTAACTCATGCTATCTATTCACCGTCTTGGCAGGAATCAGAATTTCCTTCCAATATTGTGCATTCGTCTCAAGTTATCTCGTGGCCCCGTCAGATTTAGAAACGTGGACACAGCAGTCTTGGTCCAAAAGGACATAGAATAAGATTATCGGTGAATGCTGGTTTTTACTTTTGCTTCTTCCAATTTATAGATGATGAATCGTCATAAAGGAGACTACATTAGAAAAGGGCACAATGAGACAATTAATTTTAACACTCAGTATTTAAATGATATTTCTACTGCTTACTAAATGCCGTGTCTTTTCTATTTTATAGTCCTGCTCGGTTATTTTAATAGAAATATTATTTAATTTTAACGTTTAGCTTAACCAGAGAGCAACAGAAAATTAATTATAATGTAATATATTTCCATACTTTATATTTCAGAGCTACCTTACTTTTAATCCAACAAATAATAAAGAATTGGTGAGCAACAGTAAAACGCAGGCAATATATTATTCGTGGGTAAGTAGAAATATTTAGATTTGTTTTAAGTGTACGGACAATTATATATTTATTCTTTGAATACAGATGTTTTGGTAATGTAACAAAATAGTCTACTTAGGAAGCAATAAATCTATATTAACATGTTTTGATTTAATTTAAAGTATTTATTTTAGACCCACTGGAAATTAGCATATTAAATCGGAAGCAGAAAATTTAAATTTTATTTTTTTAAGTAATGAAGCAAAATTTTTTAATATATTTAACAGGTCTAAAATAGAGGATTTTTTGGAGGTGATGGACTTTATTCCCCTTTAGAAATGAATTAGCAAACAGATCAGCAATATGTCTTCTGACACGGCAAAATCGTGAAATTAAAAAACCAAAAATTAAGCATAAAATTACCATATAACCCAGCAATTCCTGGGTACAGTATGTCCCCGAAAGAATTGAAAATGGGCATTTCAAGCACACACGTACCACAGATATCAATAGCGGCAGCATTATTCACAATAACCGACAGGCAGAAACAAACCAAACGCCTAATTGGCTAAAAAAATGTGGTCCATCCGTATAATGGAAGAGTATTTGGCCATTTAAAGGACTGAAGTTCTGACACACACCACAACGCGGGTGAACCCTGACAACATGATGCCGAGTGCAAGAAGCCAGACACCAAAAAGCCACATATCGTATGACTCCATGGATGCGGAACGTCCAGATTAGGCAAATCCACAGAGACAGAGAGAAGACTGGCGGCCGGCAGGGGCCGGGGTGGCGGAGGGGGCGGGGTCTGGACGGCTCCGTGGATGGGGCTCCCTGTTGGGATGATGAAAGTGTCCTGGAACAGATAGAATGATGGTGGCATAGCATCATTAACATACTAAGTGCCACTGAATGGTACGTTTTAAAATGGTGAATGGTTAATTTCATGTTATGTGAATTTCACCTCAATAAAAAATGAGAAACAGACGAACACACATGCACTGGGCGATTCGCAGTGGTAGCCATTACTTCAGGCTTCTATGATGGCGCTAAAGCCTTAGCAATGTAGAATTCAGGTTTGCATTGACTCCCAATGCAAACAGGCACAATCATTTGTGGCACTTTTTTTTATTTGTGTATTTGCTTTCCCCTCCAAAAGTTTTTAGATGCTCCTGGAGGCAGCAGGTTCTCTTCTTACCTGTAGAAACCACAAAGCTCTGACCCTGTTTAGAAGCACTCATTTTGATTTTGTTGTTATATAGTTCTTTTGGAAACGAGGTGGTTTTTTTGTTTTGTTTTGTTTTTTTGAGTAGTGATGACTTTTGTTTTGTGTTTACCAGAATGAAAGAGGAAATGTGCTCACTCACAGCGCCCCAGTTTTAACAGAAAAAGTGAGTATTCCTGTTGCTTGTTTCCTCATCCGATTTTGTGGAGAAGAAATGTGTTAATGTGTAAGCTTCATCATTTTCGGCTGCTCTGTGCATGTTTTGGTATCAAACCACTGGGAAATAATTTGAAAATTTTAGCCGGGTCCTGGGCCATATCGAATCTGTCAGCTGAACATAATGGAAAGTACTGTTAAAAATGAAACGTTACGGAAAAGAAAGTTCACTGCCGTGAGAAAATACCCCAGGAAAGTGGCGGCTTTTATAAGGAATGTGTGCGTGTGACGGCGGAGAGAAGCTGTGGACAGGTGCGGGCAGAGCAGTGGAATGTGGGCGGGTCCCTTTTGAGACACTCAGTTTTCCGAGCCATTAAAAATGATCCGGGGTATTTAGACATCTGCAAGCCGATGGAAAGGCGGCGAGCCAGGTGTCGGAGGAAACGTTGCTTTCACCTTGCCTGCTCACCTCGGACGGTTGCATCTGACGTGGAAGTCAGGTCCCGCCTCCTGCCGCATTTCCTGCGTTCGATGCCCACGGAATCCGCTCGGTGAGAACCGTATGATTTCGCCGCTTCCTGTCCTCATTCTTGGTGTGACCTGCAGATATGTATTTTTTAAGAGGGCATGCCAAAAGAAAAGGATGGGACAGATGGACATGAGACAGATTATTCTGTCTGCGAACTCAGTTTTTCATAAGACCCCATCTAAAACAGGACGTTGATTCATCAACGTTGGACTGACAGCCAACAGCTGGAACGCATGCCCGAATGACACTCACCTAACACAGGTGCAGGCACACCTTGTTGCACGGTGCCTCGCTTTACAGCTGTTGCGTTCTTTCCAAATGGAAGGCAGAAGAGACCTTCCACTAGCGAAAAGATTGACTCGCTTCGTTGTGGTCGGGAACCCATCCCGCAGTATCTCTGGGCTTGGGGACACTGGACAGCATTTCAGTACCATGTCTGGGGGCCAGTTTAAATACCAGACTCACCAACAAAAGGCACCTTGTCAAGAAAAAAAAAAAAAAAAAAGAACAACACGGCACTAAACAGACCACGGAAAGGACACTCATTTCTAGGGTGGGAGCTAAAACAGGAAGGCAGAGCATCGCCTCATTTGACCTCAGCTGGAAACAGCAAATTTTTCACCGCTCCGCACGCGCACGCGTCTGCAAATGGGAGTGCCGTGAGGACTGATTTGGGAGTTACAGATAAAGTTTAGAGAGCAGGTAAATTCGCAGATACGGAATCCACAAATAATGGGGATCGACTGCAATCGAAATAAGAAAAATGCCTCGTTTTGAAACAGTGCCGCTCTCACAAAGGACTTGAGGCCCTTGCTGGACCAGCTGTCATTTTTGCCGACCCTCCTGTGTTCACATCAGCAGAGGTGAACCCTGGGATCTTCTCCGCTGATGAGACGATGGGGTGGCGGGCTTACCGTACCATGTGACCGACTGCTGAAGTTTCTCCATTTATTCCTTTGCTCACACTCACGGAGGGGCTTCACTGACTGCTCTGGGTTCTTCCTATACTTCACGTCCAAGACACTGTCTGAGGAGGATGGCCTAGTGCCTGATTTCCTGTCGCACGGATATAGGAAGTCGTCTGAGACGCATTTCTATGTATCATACTTACTTTCTAATGATGAGAAAATAATCTGTGATCACAAGGAGGCTGGGAGAAATACGTTATGATGTCTTACAGAGCTTGCTTTTGCTCATGATGGGCTCTAGTTCCTTTGTCAGTCTCCGACGCCTCAGTAAGAGACGTCGAACAGGTATAAACGGTGACTGGCCACTCCTTCATTTGCTTTAAGCAAACAGTTTAACACGGGACCCAACCCTACACTTGCAAATTGTCAGAGGTTCGGAACTGCCGGACCCATGGCAAGCCACAGGGATGCGGATTGCTTTTTAGCGATTGCTTTTAAAAAAAAAAAACCTTAATTGTTTTTCTTTTATATTTCAGTGTAATATTATAACACGCCCTATGTTGATAAATGCTTTGTTTTCTATTTATCCCTAAACCGTCACTCATAATCTGTCTTTGGAAACGCAGACATTCAACAAGCTCGTGGGCAAGTTTAGCCAGTCCATCTTTCATCTGAATTTAACACAAGTGCTCTCTGCGACGATGGAAGGGAAGCTGGTCGTCTGGGACATACACCGCCCACCGCCGGCCGCCTCCGCCTCTCTGGGCCCTCCCTACATCAAGCCCTGTAAACTGGTTCATTTGCAGAAAGAGAGTATTACTGTGCTTACCGCAGTTGATAGGTAATTAGCCCCCATAAGTAGCTAGCTATCGACGGTTCTAAAAATATTTTAAAACCCTTCGAGTGTATACCTATGTTTTGTATGTGCACAGAATATTTCCAGGGACGTTAGCTGGGAACGTTGGTTGTCTCTGAGGAAAAGAACGAGGGACTAGGATCCAGGATGGGGGTGGATGTGCTGCTTTTTATAGTCTCATTTGTGCTAAGTGGTTTGCTTTTTTTTCTTTTTTCTTTTTTTTTATCATAGGCATGTATTACTTTAAAAAATCCCTTTGTATCAGTGAAACAAAAAGTGATTTCTCCCCCGCTCTGCACCAAACAGACTTATTTTGCACCCTAAAGTTTACAACTTTGAATTTAAGAAAATAATGAGACTAGCTATGTTGTGTTTTCTTCTGATTACTAAATAGCATTTTCTCATTATGAAAAGAGGAAATACGCCAGAACTTTATGAAGCTCTCTAACCGTATGATTTTGAGAGGCTGTCGGGGCTCACAGATGACCATCAAAAGCCTTAGCCTCAGACAGAAAGGGGTTCACACCCCAGATGCATCCCTCTCTTGCTGAGTAGTACCTCTGGGCGAGGAGCTAGAGGTACTTTGCCGAGCCTCCATGTTACTGTCTGTAAAATGGGCATAAACAATAGTCTCCACCTCAGAGTGATTGTCTGAGGATTTGCACAGGTGAAATCGTCATTATTAGTGTGGTAAGAGGGGTCCCCAAAAATGACGGAGACGATTCCCTAACGACCAGGGCCCCTGCCCATAGGGTTGGGGTCACCGTGCCACTTGCTTTCCAAAAGCCTGTTTACTTTTCCTTTCTTTGAAAACAGGGAACAGGGAGGTCCTGGCGTGGCTTTGCAAAGAGAAATGCAAATTGTCATCTTCGCTCAGTGGTGCGAACACAGTAGTAGAATTGCAACTGACAGCGCACTCTACTGCGAGTTAGCTGGGGGTTAGGACCCAGTGACGATCGGACCCTGCTTCTCCATGCTAAATGAAACCCAGCCAGGACCAGGGAAAAAAGGTCTCTGAAAACACTGGGCCTGTTTTTGCCATTTCTGTCCAGCAGAGGGCAGTGAAAGCTGCTGTAGCCAATTACTCTGCCCACCTGCCTTGCTTCTTAATCAGGAACTTCATTCAGTCACTTTGCATGTATAAGAGGAAACTCATCCCCTCCTTCTCGTGATCAGAATTATGTCGGAGGCTTAGAAGCAAGCGAGCCCGTTTGGGGTGGATCCGAGGACCGGAAATAAAAGCCATTTTCTCACGTGCGGCACTGCCTTTGGCTGTGACGACTGGACAGGGTTTGACAATCCCTCTAATAGCAGCGGCTTCCCGTAAAGTGGCTCGTGTCCCATCGACAGCTTGTGTGATTTCGGAGGGCTGGTAGATGGACTGTTGTCATCTGTAGTCTTACGGCGGAGAATGCAAATGACTGCCCACCGCAGGTGCGTGCGGCCGATCTTGGAGGGCTGGGAAGAACAGGACAGGGAGCATGGACTTTGTGTCAGATACACCCGGCTCCCGGCACGGTCCGGCCACAGGACCCTGACGGGGTTGCCAGGCAGACGTGTGTCCCAGGCACTATTTGGGACACACATATACTGAAAGATTCCTTGTCGTCATGGATCTGAAATATGAATTTAACTGGGCATCCTGCATTTGTATTTTCTAAGTCTGGCAAGCCCAGGCCTCGAGCCAACCTCCTAACTTCTCTGAGCCTCACAGACGTAAAGGGGGTAACAGTAACACCAGCCCCGCAGGGCAGGATCAAGTGAAGTTTTTCACAGCGGCCGGAATCCAGAGCCTTTGACGCGTGGTTCGGTGTTCGGCTGATGGTACTCACCGCCGTTATTAATTTGGCAAACTGGTGTTTCTCTCCATTGCAGCTACATCGTCACAGGTGACATAAAGGGCAGCATTAAGTTCTACGATCACACGCTGGCCATCGTTAACTGGTACAGCCACTTCAAACTCGGCTCCATAAGAACTCTGTCCTTTTCGAGGACCCCGGCGTCTCCTCCCACCGAAAAATCAAACTATCCTCCAGACTGCACTTTAAAAGGTGACCCTTTTGTTGTAAGGTGAGTCGTGAATGAATCTAGTCGTTCGAATGGTCAAAGAAGATGATCGATGTCTTCTTAGTTTTCGTGCGGGGGAGCGTTCGCCTTGCTCCTGGCATGTGACGGTGGGACCTGGGTCTCCTCGTCGGTCCTGTCCCCGGCTTAAAGATGGATCTCCTCGGCCAGTTATAACTGCTAATCATTTTTTAAATGAAACATTATTTTCACATTAAGAATCTTTAGTGACTGGGAGCAAGGAAGGGCTTCTCCCTGAGCTCTAATCTCTGCTCTGCTCAGCATCCTCTGCTGTAGGTTGGTCTCTGTTTTTGAAGCTGAGTTTGTCCTAGCAGCGCTAAGGTTAAAGGCATTTGGTAATTAATAGCCATAACATTTCAAGACGGAATTATCTGAGCGCCTGCTTAATTACCCTTGCAGTATTTTGCCTGCCCGTCTGTATGTGTGCACCAAGCTCCATATTTGCATACACAAATGAATATTTGCATGTGCAGATTAGCTAATTGTACGACTGACTGTCCATCTGCATACTTAATGACTCAATTTCCATGTAGAAATGTGGGCTTTTTCACTTGCAAATGGAAGGGTGGTGGGTATTGGTGGTATATTTTTGGAGCTGTTGGGTTAATAATGTCGCTAAATTACAGACGACAGAGGCGCGTCCTGTGCAATTAGAAGCGGGGCAGCTGGGGTGCCCCGTTCCCCGCGGACACTGACACCCTGCGGCCTTTCCCTGGCAAACAGGAATTTCATCATTGGAACAGCTGACGCGACAGTGTACCACTTGGCGGCGGATGGGACCAAACTTGACAAGTTGTTCGTAGAGCCCAAGGATGCCATTTGTGCCATCTCCTGCCACCCGTACCAACCCCTCATCGCCATTGGCAGCTTCTGTGGGATGATCAAAGTGTGGAATTATGAACAGAAAACATACCTTTTCAGCAGGGTCTTCGAGAAGGGGTTCGGAGTGCAGAGTCTAACCTACAACCCGGAAGGTATTTTCATTTTATTTTATCAGCCCGTCTGAGGTTCCAAATCGAAACAGAACCCAAATGGCTGCGGCCTCGGCCGTCACGGCTCCAGCAAGTTTACCTTGACCCTACCACCCCCCCAGCCACCACCAGGCTGCATGAGACGCCTTCTTCTCCCTCTGGGCTTAGTACCTACCATCTGAGCGCTCATCCCAGAGTGTCGCACCCTTCACTTATTTTCGGCGTCTAGGGACCTCGTCGGTCACATTCATCGCTGTCTCCCCGGCGCCTAGAACAGGGTCCGGCACGGAGCCGATGTTTCTTGAGTGAATGAAGTCCCTTTTGATCATCGTTCCCTGGCTTGTGATTTCAGGAGCCCTTCTTGGAGCCGGCTTCACGGAGGGGACGGTTTACATACTCGACGCAATGTCCTTAGAAAATGAAATCTCCGAGCCTTTCAAATACTCCAGAACCAACGTGACTCACATAAGCTTCTCCCACGATTCCCAGTATATGGCGACCGCTGTAAGTGCTTTCACCGAGACCCATCCGATGGCTTAGCAACCTTATTTAAAGCCGAAAGAGAGAGGGGCTGGCGGGGGGGTGGGGGCGTGGTCTGGAAGGAGGTGACTGCCAAAGGGTGCAGGGTTTCTTTGGGGGGGCGAGGAAAATGCTCTAACATTGTGATGAGGGACATACAACTCTGTGAATATACCAGAGCCCGCTGAACATGACAACTTTAAATGAATGGTGCCGCGTGTGAATTCTATCTCAGGGAAGCTGTTAGGAAGAGAGCCAGGGGCTGGGGGGAGAGACCAGGGCCTCAGCCCTCCGAGCTCGGGGGCTGCCGCCCCGACGGATCGCTTTGGTTTCTTGGTGTTTTGGACCCTCTCTCTGCCTCCATGTGTTCATCCTTCCCTTTCGTTTCTGACGAGACCACAGGCTCGATGATCTCCGAGCAGAGTCTCCGTGGGTAGTTCGGATGCTCTTCCTTCCGTCTCTGAATCGGGTTCCTGGGCGTGAAGACCCTCGGACCCCTAATCCCCCCCTTCCCCCCGGTGGCCTTGCCTTGGTGCCAGGGGTGGGGGTGGGGGGCTAAACCGCTGTCCCATCTCCACCGTGGCCCGGCCTCTCTCCTGGTCTGCGCCCGGCGCATCCGAAGGTCCCAAGCCGCCCTCACCCGTCCGGACGCCGCCTCAGTGTCCCTTCAGGCTGGTCTCGCCCACTCTCTGACCCTCTCCATCTCAGCCATCATACTTTAAAAAAAAAAAAAATCCAACGTACCTTTTTTTGTGTGTAGCTGGATGAAGAGAAGGGGGGACCGAGGCCAGAAGAGCCAGGGGCTTCGACAGAGAGTCGGAAGCCGGGGGGACTAGAGAGATCAAGACTGTGGTGTTGGAGAAATACTCTCTCCCCTCACCGCTCTCGAGAGTTACCTGCTTTTTACCTTAATTTTCCCATTTGCAAAATGGGTGTTATTTTACCACTCGCTCCGAAAGACGAAGATTTCTTTTTGGGTAAAATATCAGGATAAAATAATGTGAGCAAAAGTAGTATGAAAAACATAAGGATGATTTTGAAGTTGCAGAATTTAAGGAGGAGTAACTTGGGCTCTTCCGCTCACCTGCAGGACGCAAGCTTCACCGTGGCCGTGTACAAGGTCAGAGTCAGAAACGGACAGAGGGTCTGGGAATATCTGGCGCGGCTTCGTTCTCATCGCCAAAGCATCCGGAGTCTCCTGTTCGGGGTTCATCTGGACAGCAACGAGCCGAGGCTGCTGAGCCTCGGCAAGGACAGGCTCTTGGTGAGCTGCTCAGTTTTCATTCACCTGGTCACCGGGACCCGTTTGTCCGATTGCGTCCCTGGCATCTGGCAGAGAGCTGGGCGCACAGTGTGGCTGTGCGTGTGTGCGTGCGTGTGTATATATATGCGTGTGTGTGTGCATGTGTGTGCATGTGTGTGTGTTGGGGGGGAGTGAATGTACAACGAAGCGGCGTGAGCCCCTCCAAGCTGGCACTTGGCCTGGACACGGCTCTGACATCACGTAGGGCCTCACATGATGGCTTCTGGGGGGAGCACGCCGGGCTGCAGGGAGGTGGTGTCCCCACGGCATGGAGAACTCGGCCACCCTCACCCCTCGGTGTACATTTGGAAAGCCATCACTCAGCTAATAGAGGATGTGAGATAAGTGGGAGAGGTAGGGACAGCGGCAGATGTGATGTTACGTGATCAAGCCAGAAGGATTCAAAATCAACCAATCAATCTATGTACCTATCTATCCATCTTAACTTCCTTCCCTCCTCTTCTCTCCTTCATTATGTCCTTCTCTCTATCCATACACCCATCCATCCACCCATCCATCCACCCATCCATCCATCCATCCATCATCCATCCTGGTTTGGCCACCAGAACTACCTGTGGGTAAAATTCAGCAGGCTGCTAGTTTATGAGTGTCAAGAGCTAAGATTTAGATATGAATTAGTTGCCAGCCTCAAAGAGTTCCCAAGATACTGGGACGCGAAACAGCAGAACCGTAAGAGTTCAGGTTTTACAGT